TAAAGGCAGTGGGCATGGAGAAGGATGGCACTAACTGCTAGAGCTATAAAGTTGGAGAAAAGAAAAGTTAGAAAACCCGTCATACCCCATAAGTGTCTGCAGGAGGAGGGAAAAGAGCTCAAGTGTCCAGCCCGTCTCATCCCCCACCTCAACTTGGTCAAGTAGACATGACTTCTCAGAAGGAGGCAAGCCAAGCTTTTCCTCTTGAGGGACAGGGCTGAACACGCACACCCAGGCCTATCCGGCGTCCCTACAGCACTTCTACTCAGAATATTCTAGATGGAGCAGAGTGGTCAGGCAGATATTAGTCATCCTGATTTTACAGGAGCAAATTTTAGAAGTTTAGAAAAGTTGACTAGTTTGTTTGAGATCATACAGCTATTCAGAGACGCGTCAGGGCTTCTCAGGCCAAACTCCTCTATCAGGGTTACCCGCTGTCCCCCTGTTGCCCATTCAAGGCTGCTCTTGCCCATCAGGCTTCTCTAGTTGACAATGAGCAGAAATTCATTTGGGAGGTGGGGAGAGTCTTGTAGCTCAGTGGGAGTCTTCAGGCTTCTTGTCATAGAGATATCTTCTGGGTCTTTTGCCCACAAGTGGCACCATGTGAAATGCTTGCCTCTTAAATAGGTTGCTTTAAGTCTAATCTTATTAAGGAAATATTAAAATACATATATTACAAAGAAGCAACAAAAACTGGAACCAATTTACTTATTTAAGAAGAAAGATCTTGGTGTGGTGCCCAGGTGAGGTGCAGGAGTTCCAGCTGGAGGCCCGCGCTGAGGGTGGGCGCCTTCAGCTGAGCTGGACCACACCATCGAGATCCCAGATCAAACCTGTCAATCTGGGGCTTAAAATGAGCCAACTCAGAAATGGAAAGGAGGACCTCATAGTCATCAAGAAAGGAGATGTGGGAGCGGAGTACATCATTTAGACCCCATGATCCCTCCAATGGGGTCCTCCCAGACCGAAGAGGCAGAGATCTGTAACACCGGAGACAGTGACAGATGGCAAGAACCTGTGGTAGAGAACAGGTGTCAGCAGAGGGAGATGCAGGAGACTGGTGGGAGCTGGTGTGATGGACTTTTCGGCCCGCAAAGTGAAAAAGCAGAGCACCTTAGAGCCAAGGCTAGTCTCTGAGCCACGTGATTTTAGACATTTACTGGCAGAGCTCAGGAGCTTTGTAACCCTTGCCCAGGCAAGGCTGCAAATCTTGAGGACAGAGAGAGGCCTGCCTCGGGCACAGCTGAGAAGAAGCTGTGCTGACCAGAGAACTGTATCCTTGGCAGTTTTTGATCCTCGATTGTAACCTGTTACTACCCTAATAATCCCATAATAATGAGTATTATCTGTAAACACTGTGTGTCCAATACAACAGCTAAGTAGAGATGCTACGAGAGTGGGGAGAAAAAGGAAGAGAGATCTTTGAACCTTTTAACTACAATAGAGGCAAAGATATAATTTTTATTAAATACTTTTACCATAAAAGTCCAGGGAATCCCAGCTTGGGAATCATTAACAGTGAGTGATTTTTCTGGAATTGTCCAAGGACGGGTGGTATACATATTTACTTTTTTATCTTTTAAAAGTGTATACATTTTTTTTTAAAAAGTGTACACATCTTAAGTACACCCCCCATTGTTGTTTTTATCGTAAAATAAATACAAGACCCTTGTCGTTTTAACCATTTTTAAGTATGTAATTCAGTGACATGAATTAGATTAGACTGAACAATAATCACAACTTGTTGTTATGTGCTGTTGAGTCGACTCTGACTCATAGAGACCCTTTGTACAACAGCTCTCAATTCTGAGCCAATTTCATCGTCTCTGACATATCTACCCCAGTTACCCCAGTCACTGAGTCAAAACATCTCATCCAGGCTCTTCCTCTCTTGTACTGTCCCCCCACCGTCCCAAGCATGATGTTCTTCAAGGATTTAGGTAATTTTTGCATCTGCATTAAATGACTATTGTATCTATTCTAAATGACTTTTTGGGATCATAATTAGAAATAGAATAATTAAAATGGTATAACTGTTTTCGAAGGTCCTTGACACAATATTTTCAGAGTTTTCTTTAGAAATAGGAGACCAAGTTAATATTTATCGCCCACACCATCTGATTATAACCCTTTCCCAAGCGCTCACCAATACTAGGTATTATTATAATCTAATGACATACTGGGGGGCAATATATGTGATATGATATTGGTATGTGGAGATAAATAGCATCTTCTATAGTGCTAAGGAGAGAGTGCTGGTGGCCTCGTGGTAAGGAGCCACACTGCCAACAAGACACGTATTTCAAATCCACCAGCTGCTCCATGGGAGAAAGATGATAATGTCTTCCTATGTGATTTACTGTCTCTGTAAAACTGCTAGAGGGTCAGCTAGGAGTCAGTTCTGGCACATACCACAACACTGTGTTGGATTTCTTTACTTACTGATGAAGTTTATTTCCTTCTTTCTTCTTGTAACCATGTGCATTTCTTGGGTGATTTTCTTTACTCAGCTCCCTTGTGGAGCATTCCTGGCTTTGGAAGTACATCTTGGGAAGGACAGCGTCACCTGCGCTGTCACATTCCTGGACAACCAGAATTCCAGGCTAGGAAGGTTCGAGTCTTCTTGGCTAGAGTACTACACTGCTCAGGACACAGTGTCCTGAACTAGCATAGCTGGAGGGTCAGCTATGCGTCTGTTCCAACATCAAGACACACAACAGACAATTGAAGGAGATGTGTGATTCAAGAAATGCGAAGAGCAAATGTTGAGATGGTAGCTTGAGATGACCTGAGAGAACAGTTTAGTAGGGATGTGGGGTGGTGAGAGACAGATTGAACAGTAACAAAATGAGATAAATTTGTTTGAATCCAGGAATAAAGACAAAAGAGAAGGCTTGTTGGGGTTTTCTGCTCCATTCCAACAAACAGCCAGACCTTCTTCATTGGGTTTCCCCCTGGTCCACGAGGTCACTACACACTGTGCCATGTGTCTCTTTGCCTCTGACTCTTTCTGTCCTTTTGCCTGACCTCCAGGACACTGTTTCTGTAGCACGCTTTGTATCACGGCCGTTTTCTGACCATTGTTCACTGTTGCTCAAGTCAGGATCAAATCCCTCTAAGGCTGGACTCATGTCTCCACACTTCCTCCCTAAGGCTGCCATTATCTCACCTCCCTGGCCCCTCATACAGCATTCCTCTACCCCATAAACGTTTTCCCTTCTGTTACAAGTAAAAGCTGGCTTCAAATTGAGTTTAAAGTCTGACTTACTAGCTGGATGACCTTGGAAAGTATTTACCTTTAGAATTTTAATTCATGGGTAAAACAAACAAGAAATCTCTCTCAAACAGAACTGATAATTCAATTAAATAACGAAGAGAGAGCATCTGGCAAAGTTACCAACATTCATTCACTCATTAACTTTATAAATACTCCTTCCGTTGGTACTTCTTCCTCCCTGCTTCTCAAAAAAAAAAAAAAGAGAAATACATACTGTGTGCCAGGCAGCAAGTAGTCTCTGCTCTCATAAGTTTCTCCACGCCCCTCCCCAGAGAAGGGAAATATTCCTTTTACATTTCATATGCACTTATGTAAATAATCACTGAGTTCCTATTCTAACAGGTCTATAATGAGGCAGATAGAGGAATCTGATCGGTAGCCAGTGAATGCCAAGTCTCCCAACCCTATTTGATCTTCATGATTCAACTGAGAGACCATAAACTGGTTTTACAGGACTTCTCATTGATAGGCAGACAATCAGTGCCACTTCCCCCTACCCCTCTTCAACTTTTATGATTCAGTTGGAAGATTATAAACTGTCTTTGCAAGATTTTTCATTGCTAGGCAACCAATCAGTGCCACCTCTCCCCACCCCTAGTCGTCACTCTTTATGATTCAATAGAGAGATCATAAACTGTCTTTATGTGACTTTTCATGGTTTGACAGGTCACAATGAACATATTCTGCTTTTATAATGTAGAATTCTGGTAAAACTTGTAATGAGTTAACTCCAAAAGGAAACTGCTTTGTAAGGAAGAAACAGGGAGAAAAGACCGTTTCAAGTAATATCTCCTCTTTGAAGCCCTTCTCCAAAGAAAGGCAAAAAGACTGTTTTCCCCGTTTTTGACTCCCAATGCTTTTTCAGAGATCTCTTTTATTAAGGGAGCTCTGGTGACCCAACAGTAAGAAGCAGCTCTGCAATCCCAAAGGCACATGGTTCAAATCCAACAGCTGTTCCTTGGGAGAAATATGGGCATTCTCTTCTCATCCTCTTGTGTCATTACCTGCCTCTGGAAACCAGCTGGAGGATCAGCTCACACTCAGCATTAAGTCAGTTACAACTTACCTAACGACTATAAGTTTGACACCCAACAACAACAACTACTACTACTGCTGTGATTCATGGGGAGCTACCCATGAGCTCCAATAAGGAGTGGAGACAGATGTACCTTTAGTCCCCAGGGGCTTACATAGAACTAGCACGCACAGAATTGACAGTAATTGGTTGTTTAATAGAAGCATGAGCCAGTGGGTCACTAGAGTCAAGAGGTGACTGTGTGTACGCACGCTTGCTCACGGGCATGGAAGCTAAATGCTGTAGCAAAGAAGGAAACCTTATGAGCTCAGCCCCTACACATATAAAGGCTCAATTAGACAAAACCTAATGCATTTGTAAGAGGACTGACTAAATCCAAAAATATCTACTGACCTAAAAAACAATCTTTGAAATCTTTTCCATGAATTGAGAATTTCAAATCTTGGGCTTTATTGCTCCTTTGACAGGAAGACTGTAATCAGTAATCTGACAGTGTACGATGTTGTTCTGATTGTGGTCAGCAAAGTTTGAGACTTAGAGTTGTAGGCTGGACTAACTCTGGGCCTGTCATGACTTCTAGTCTCCATTCAGTTCCTGGGTTCACCTATGATCATTATAATTCCTAAAAATACCTGCAAAACATGGGATAATCAGTGATGAGGGAGGATGCCTCCCTCTAATGGCTGAATGTCAGAGGATGACATTGAAGATCTTAAAAATGAGATCATGCAATTTGGAGCCGGGTAGAGTGTGAAAGAAAAGTCGAGAATGGCTTAGACAAGAATATGCATGTTTGGCCTTCTTAAAATTTCTCTTATAAGTCGCATTTAGAATTCCGATATAATCATGGAGTTGTCACTTCCATTAAAAAAGGTGGGAATAAGAGGGACTAACAACTCTGTATTGCAGGTAGTAAAATGGGGCCCAGTTAGAGCCGTCTAACTAGTTAGTTGCATAAAAAAGCAAAGGTAAACACAAATGTTTTTAGAAGTACAAGGAATTCTATATGAAATACCACAGTTTCAGTAATTCTTCAATTATCTGTCTCAGGTACAGAGGTAACATATAACACGTCAAATGATGATCGACGCAGCACAACTATGGCAGACACGACTGAAAGAGAAGTCTATACCACCATCAGGAATTCTGATAAAATATCCAGAATATTAATGGGAAAACAAACTTATGTAACCAGACAGACAATTTCATCTGATAATTCCCAGAGCACTAGAAAAGAGCCTTCCTCAGGCACTGTGGGCACTGAAAAGGTTACAACGAGGCCCGATGAGTCAAGTAATGAGGAGTCATTAAATGATTCAACATATCTTCCTCAAAGAACCACTGCACTGGAGGGATCTACATTACATACGATGAAGAAGAGGGATGAAACAACACTAGAGAATAAAACATCTTCTCCAAAAAGAGAGTTCACCAATAAAATCTCATCAAGAAAAAATGGTGAAATTTACACGTCGTTAGGAGTCGCTGAAGAATCACAAATAACTATCATCCAAAATCTAACAGGGTCAACGCATTTGATTCAAGAGTCTGCATCCACTCTTCCCCCCGCCAGCGCCCACAGTACGGTGGGTGAGCGGTCCTCAGCCTCCCCCGGCCCTGGCACGCACCCCACCACCAGCCCGGCTGCCTCGGGCCCTGCTGGCTCCCTGACCACGTCCACACGTCGCGGCCCGAGCAGCGCGTCTCCCGCGGAACGGTCCACCGTGGACACCAACGTCGCAGAGGCTTCCTCGCCCGCTCTGGCCACCGGGCCCTCTCCCGGTGCCGGGACCTCGGAGGCTGCCCCTGCGGGAAGCCCCAGCCCCGGCTCGGCCACCTCGGGGCCCTCCCCACGCACAGACACGGCTCTCAGTGAGCCGGGCCCTCGGTCGACCACGGGCTCTGGGGCCTGGGCATCCACCCTCCCTCGCGGC